AACAACCGCCCTCTCAAAAAAAAAAAAAAAAAAAAAAAAAGTACTGTCTCCCTCTAAAGATTTTGCCTCCAAGTTTAGATGAGTTAAAATGTAAGCAAAGCACTTAAAACAGGTCCTGACGCATAAAAAATGCAAAATGTAAGTGTCTCTTCAGTTTTTTTAAACAATCAACAAATGTGTGGATCTCAAACAATTTGGGTTAAAAGAATTAAAAAACAAGGATGTCTGTCTGGAATTTTAGCCAACTGAAGGGTCAGAGATTATTGCTTTCTCCTTGGCAATGTATCTATCGACCGAGTGCAATTTTTTACTTATTTCTAGTACTTCTCATTTAAGGCTGATGTCTGGGGTCTCCTCCCTGAGGAAACTGCCCACCCTGGAGGGAAACCCTCCCCAACACTTCAAGACACACATGCGAGAAGCCCTATATTTCTCCCAGACATGACTCAGTCTGGCCTCTCCTCTCCCTTCCCTGCTGCAGCCGTAGGACCACCCCTGGTGCTGTTCACCCTCACCTTCACCATCACCAACCTGGAATACAGGCAAGACATGCTGCCTTCAAACTCCGTGACCTTCAACAACACAGAGAAGGTGCTTCAGAGCCTGGTGAGAGCCATGCCCACTTTACTCCTGTTCCTGCCACCTCACTCCTGTCCTACCCATCTCACTCCCACCCTACCCATCTCACTCCCACCCTGCCCACCTCACACCTGCCCCGCCCACCTCACACCTGCTCTGCCCACCTCATTCCTGCCACACCCACCTTACTTCTACCATGCCTAAGCTTTACACTTGCCCACCTCACTCCTGCCACACCCCTCACTCTTGCCCCACCCACCACACTCCTGCCCCGCCCACCACACTCCTGCCCCGCCCACTTTACTCTTACCACACCCACCACCTCATTCCTGCCACACCCACTGCTGTCCCTCCCATCCACAGATAACCATATTGCCCTACCTCTCTGACTACTCTCTCCTCTCTCCCTGTCTTTCGCAGCTTGACCCCTTGTTCAAGAACACCAGTGTCGGTCCTCTGTACTCTGGTTGCAGACTGGCCTTGCTCAGGTGAGACCTCAGAATAGCCAATATGGCCTTCCCAAGTGTTTCCAGTGGGCTTCTTCCTTCCTATCCTCCCTGTGCATGTTCTCAGCAGAGGTAGAAGTCAGTGGGTGTTGGATCCAGGACCAGCTTGTCTCCTGGTCCTATCACCTGCCCACCTCAACTGAGAGATTCTGCAGGGCTGATCTCAACTGAGAGATTCTGCAGGGTCCAGGATTGGACCCCTACCCTTATCATATTCTTCTGAATCCCCTCCTGCTGCTCCTTTTACCAATGAGGGCATTGTATCCATGTGCATGAATCTGTCCCCAGGATTTCTCTCAAGACAAATACACCTTCTCCGCTTGCTCTAATCCCCAGTTCCAACTCTTCCCCTTTCTCAAATATAAGCTCTCCTGTCCCCATGTCAGAGCATGCAGGTTTGGGCTTTGCAATTTAATGAAAATTTGTATCCATGACTCTACTCACTGTCTCAAGCTGTCTGGGAGTTGGTGCACTCAGAGAATCTAAGTCTGGCTTCTCACCTCTCTACCAGGCTTTTGATTTTCTCTGGCCTCTTCGTGTTATGACCCCAGGGAATCTCAGGACCTCCTCCTAAGCAATCCATTTGTTCTCATTCCCTTCATCTACCCTCCCCAGGCCCAAGAAGAAGACAACAGCCACTCAGGTGGATGCTATCTGCACCTACCACCCCAACCCCGCAGGCTTCAGACTGGACAAAGAACATCTGTACTGGGAGCTGAGCCAGCTCACCCATGGCATCACTGAGCTGGGCCCCTACACCCTGGACAGGGACAGTCTCCTTGTCAATGGTGAGTGGCTACCATCCATTTTGCAGCTCCGCTGGTCCCACATCCTCCCTCTTTATTCTTCTCTCTTCCTCATCCCACCTCCTACCCAGCCTGTCTCCCTGCACCTGTGCAGTTTACACCCAACAGATCTGTGAGTATGCTGAGGCTTTACAAGTCTTTACAACCCTGTAAGCTGCCTCCACCTGAGTCCCAGCCCTTAGGCACGGAAGAGGCCAGAGTCCACTGCCTTCTCTTCTCTCCACCTCCAGCCTCGAACAAACAAGGACTATACCCCCTAAGAGCCCCAGATGTATGCACCTCCTGCCTGGCACCCCCAGGATAATGGAGTCCCCAGCTCAAGTGCTTGGGGTGTTTTCTCACCGGCTTCTGCTGTGACCGTGTCTACAGTAGAGGGCCGTGCTGGGGTGTGAGTCTCCACCTCTTCCTCACTGAGTGCGATCTGCTGCGGTTGGTCCCTGCACCTGCACCTAGTGCAGCTTCCACCTGAGCTCACATCAGAGTGCATTGAAAAAAGTCTTTGTCTCTCTGGGATGCATTAATGGATGAGGGAGTAGACTCTAATCTATGTCGGGTAGGGGCTCTGTCTTCCTTTTAATAAATCACAGCTATGATGGTCCAGCCACTAACGCACCATCTCTAGAATGGCCAACTCTTCAATAGCCAAGTTGCCTCTTCATAGATGATCACTCCCCTTCCCCCTTCCTCACCATCGCACTCTGTCCCTGCAGGTTACACCCATCCGGGCTCAAGCACCACGGCCAGCCGTGAGTATTCCAGATCTCTGTGTGTCTATGACCACCTCGTTTCCCCTAAAAAAATAGAAGGCGCTCAGACAGCAAACCCCTTCTTCTGCTACCCACACTTTAGATGGAAAAGAGTGCAGAGGGGGTGTATAGAAATGTGGGTTAAATTGGAGGTTGCAGCAATCTCCCACCCTCCCCATCTCTCCATCCCCCTACCACACACACCCAGGGATGGTGCTCTGACTCCTGGCTGAATGGAACACAGAGAAGCACAAACTTTTATAACAAGAGCCACCACCACTGCCACCTTTCCCCAAAAGATGTAACACACTTCGGATTTTATTCCTGGTGTTTACTTCCTTGGCAGCTGTGACCACCCATCCATTCCAGCACCCTCACTGGCTCCATCCCTCCCAACCAGGACCACAGACAGGCTCTTATTGATACCAAAATCACTCCTACAAAGTAATTCATACCCAATTACTTCTCACATTTCCCACTCACTTTCCCCCAAGGAACTCACTCATTTCCATCAGTTCCAGGGATCATCTTTTCTCAAATGGTAGAAGGAAACATGAGTTAATGTCACCTTCGGTCAGGCACGGTGGCTCATGCCTGTAATCCCAGCACTTTGGGGAGCTGAGGCAGGTGGGTCACCTGAGGTCAGGAGTTCAAGACCAGCCTGGCCAACATGGTGAAACCCCCATCTCTACTAAAAACACAAAAAGTTAGTTGAGTGTGGTGGCACATACCTGTAATCCCAGCTACTCAGGAGGCTGGGGCAGGAGAATCACTTTAACCCGGGAGGCGGGGGTTGCAGTGAGCTGAGATCACACCATTGCACTCCAGACTGGGCAACAAGAGTGAAACTCCATCTCAAAAAAAAAAAAAAAATGTCATTTCCATTGAATGTGTTTTATTTATCACTATCCAGCTCTTTAAATGTTCCTGGAGTACTGTAGCATTCCATATATATGGAATGAAGTCAAGGTGGTTGGATGGAAGGAAGGAGTGACAGCTGGGAGGAAGAACTGATGAATGGAAGGAGGAAGGGAAAGAGGATGAATGAGTGAATTGAAGGAAGAAAAATGGATGAGAGAAAAAAGGAGGAAAAAAGATGGATAAGTAGATGGAAGGAAGAAAAGAAGATATAATGAAGGAAATATGGATGATGGTGGATAGATTGCTGGATGGGTGAATGAATGGGTGAATGAATGGATGGATGAACAGATGGGTGGGTGGGTGAAGGGATGGATAGATGGATGGATGGATAGATGGATGATGGATAGATGGGTGAATGGATGGATGGGTGAGTGGATGGATGGATGGATGGACAGATGGGTGGGTAGGTGGATGGATGGATAGATAGATGAATGGATAGGTGAATGGGTGGATGGATGGATAAATGGATGGATGGGTGATAGGACGGAAAGAAGTGAGAGAAGGAGGAGGAAGAATAGACAGATGATAGAAGGTACAATGAAAGGAAGGAAGCAAGCAAGAAAGGATGCATTAATAGAATGAAAGATGGAAGGAAAGAAGAAAGGATGGAAGGAAAGGAGAGAAGGAAGAATGAACAGAAGGAAGTTCACGAGTGATGAAAAGAAGAAAGGCAGGGAGAGAAGGAGAGGTAAACTTTTCTTCCAGAGGTTTGTCTTAAACCTTAGCTCATACTTACACTCAAGTTCCACACAGAGGGAGTGATTAGAAAGCATTTGCTGATATATTTTATATAATAAACATATACACCATATTGACCTGTGTGCCCAGCAGTGCTTATATGCTTTACAAAGATTAACTTCTTTAAGCTCCATAACAACCATTGAGGCAGGATTCATTATTGTGAGCCATTGTCATTATCCCATTTTACAGATGAGTAAACCGAGGTGCAGAGAGGCTGGTTATGGCTGCAAGGATTGTTGGCTGTCTTAACCAATGCATAGCAGGTTAGCATACCTGGCTGAGAGTGCCGGGGAGAGAGAGAGAAATGGGAGAAAGGCAGAGAAGAATCAACGGGGCAAGAGGGAAAGAGAGAGAAAGAGAGAGATAATATTTATTAATTTTTAGAAAATGTCTGGAGTCATCCCTTCTGCCTCAGTGTGGCAATATGGAGCCTTTCCCCTGGGAAAGATCAGAACCATCAGTACTGTTTACAGAATCCTGCCTTCCTGCATTTGGGTAGAAGAGCCCACTGGACCTCCCAAATCATTAAGCACACCCTTGCTGGCTGCTGGAGTTGTCAACATTAAAAGTCACCCTTGGGTTTATTGAGAGGTGGACATGGGGTCCTTGGAACACACTGCCCCCACCCTATCCCACACCACCCTCCACCCACCCATCATCCTTTCCAAAAGAGCTTCATCTCTCTCTTCCCCCAGCCCTAGCCAGGGAGCTCAGCAAAGAGCCGTTCACACTGAACTTCACCATCAACAACCTGCGCTATATGGCGGACATGGGCCAGCCTGGCTCTCTCAAGTTCAACATCACAGACAGCCTCATGCAACACCTGGTGAGAGGCCTGCCTCCCCCTGCAGCCCTGCCATGTCCATCCTAGGGCTGTTGCCTGCCTGCCTCTGCCAACCTGGGCTCCCCTCTCTCTCTGCAGCTCAGTCCTTTGTTCCAGAAGAGCAGCCTGGGCGCACGGTACACAGGCTGCAGGGTCATCGCGCTAAGGTGAGAAACTGCCCAACCCACAGCCCACCACCAAGAACTTAGAGTTCTGACTGTGAGGGCCCCCTCAGGTTGGGGTGGGCTATATCTTTTTTTAATCTTACCATTCCTTTTTTTAAGTGGATTTAAGGGGTACGAGCGCAGTTTTTGACATGCATATATTGCATAGTGAAGTCTGCAGACAGTAGATTTCCAGACAGTAGCTTTTAGTTTACCCATCACCCGATCGTGTCCACTGTACCCATTAAGTGAGGTTTCTCATCCTTCTCCCACTCTCCCACCTTTCTGAGTATCCAGTGTCTATTATTCCACACTCTCTGTCCATGTGTACATGGACCTGGCGTCCATGCTCACACTTACAAGTGAGAACAGATGGTATTTGACCTTGAGCTGATAGACATGGAGTCCATTAGCTCCCACTTATAAGTGAGAACATATAGTATTGTACTTTCTATTGCTGAGTGGTTTCACTTAAGATAATGGCCTCCCATTCCATCCATGTTGCTGCAATAGACATGATTTCATTCTTTTTATGACTGAACGTACACACACACACACACACACACACACACACACACACACACACACCCCACATTTTCTTTACCCAGTCTTTTATTGATGGACACTTAGGCTGGTTCCATATCTTTGCTATTGTGAAGAGTGCTGCAGTAAACATACACATGCAGGTGTCTCTTTGATGTCCATGCTGTATTTAGTTTCTCCATTCATTAGCACTTTGATGTTTGCAGGGAGTTGTCAAGGGTTGCTAGGTTCTAGGGCTTCAATATAGTAAGAGTAAGCTAAACTGGTTTATTTCCTCCTTCGTGGAGACCATGTTCCGGAAGGAACAGGAACAAATAATTTATGATTGCATAGAGGGTGACCAGGGCAGTGACAGGGGAAGAGTAAAGGATTGTGGGACCCAGATGAGGCTCCTGACCTTGCCCAGGAAGAGAGGAAGGGGAGGGGGAGGGGGAGGGGGAGGGGGGGGGGGGGGGAGGGAGGAGGGAGTCCTCTAAGCTGAGACCTGGAGGATGACCAGGAAGTTTTCCAGGTAAGGAGAAATGGGGACAGGCTTCCAGACAGAAGTAACAGCAAGTGCAAAGATCCTGAGACGATAGATAAGGCCAGGTAGAGAAACTGCAAATTGTCAATGAGACCAAAACATGGACTGTGAGTTGTGCAGTGACCCCAAGTGGAGGGGTGCCAGGTGGCCTTCATCCCCCAAAGGTGCACCTCTCCCTCCTCAGGTCTGTGAAGAACAGCACTGAGACACAAGTGGACATCCTCTGCACCTACCTGCAGTCCCCCAGTGGCCCAGGTCTGCCTACCAAGCAAGTGTTCCATGAGCTGAGCCAGCAGACCCATGGCATCACCCGGCTGGGCCCTTACTCTCTGGACAAAGACAGTCTCTACCTTAATGGTGAGCAGCTCTCGGCCCCATCTCCCTGCCCCCCACCCCCCATCCCCTGCTGCAGTCAGGGGGTTGTCTTTTTGCCAGGTCTCTAAGGAAAGACTTGGGGTTCAAGTCTTGGCATTACCACTGACCCTCCTATTACCACCATGCAAGATTGGGCCCATTTTACAGATGAAGAAACTGAGGCTTAGACAAGTTAAGCAATTTACCCAAGTGGGTATAGCTTGACAGTGGTGGAACCAGGATATGAACTCTACTTGTCAGCATTCAGTGTTATGTTGCACACTGTGTGTTTCACTCACAGAAGAGTCTTCCTGGTGGGGGCATTTGGGGGACAAAAACACATTTCCCCTCCCTGCTTTCTTCTCACCATTGACAAGGGATGGGCTTCTCTCCTATGTGAGGCCCCAGTACCAGGATGGCTTAGGGGGTCTAAGCTTCAGGCACGCTGGGTGTCAACATCAGTCTAGAACCCAGGAAAAGACAACATTTAAAAAGGCATCCCCCATACGGGGTTCTGAGAGGCGAAGCATGACCATGGAGAATTGATAAAGTAGTTCCCCTTTTATCCCCTCCACTGCCAACCTACGAACAGTGCTTATGACCCCACAAGTGGGCACCCCATATCACTTATATGAGGTACCTTAATGTAGGTACCAGGATATAGAGAGACATCCTGGGCTTTCATTACTCTTATTTTAGCAAAGAGGGAAACTGAGGCACAGAGAGGGGAAGGGACTTGTCCATGCCCACAGTAAGTTTTTGGTTAGCCTGGGTCTTGATGTTTTTTATTATTATGACTATTGTCATCATCACCATTGTCTGTGTATATTTATGGGGTACAAGTGCAATTTTGTTACATGTGTAGATTATATAGCAGTGAAGTCAGGGCTTTTAGAGTATCCACCACTCAAATAACATACATTGTATCCAGTAAGTAATTTCTCATCACCCACTGGGATTATACTCCCTCCTCCTTCCAAGCCCCCATTGTCTATCATTCCCCTCTTTGAGTTCTTGTCCACACATTGTTTAGTTCCCACTTTTGAGTGAGAATGTGTGATATTTGTCTGTCTGTGTCTGACTTGTTTCACTTAAGGTAACTTCAGTTTCATCCATGTTGCTGCAAAAGACATGGATTCATTCTTTTTTACTAACTTGTAAGTTCAGGCATACACTTGAAGGTTGTTTTGTTTTGTTTTGAGATGGAGTTTCGCTCTTGTCACCCAGGCTGGAGTGCAATGGCTCCATCTCGACTCACCACAACCTCCACCTCCTGGGTTCAAGCGATTCTCCTGCCTCAGACTCCCAAGTGGCTGGGATTACAGGCACCCACCACCATGCCCAGCTAATTTTGTATTTTTAGTAGAGACGGGGTTTCTCCATGTTGGTCAGGCTAGTCTCGAACTCCCACCTTCAGGTGATCGTCCACCCCAGCCTCCCAAAGTGCTGGGTTTACAAGCATGAGCGCCGTGCCTGGCACACTTGCAGGTTTTTTATATAGTTAAACTCGTGTTACAGGGATTTGGTGTACAGATTATTTCATGACCTAAGTATTAAGCCTAGTACCCGTTAATTATTTTTCCTGATCCTCTGCCTCCTCCCACCCTTTACCCGCCACCCTCAAGTAGGTCCCAGTGTGTGTTGTTCCCCTCTATGGCCATGTGTTCTCATCATTTAGCTCCCACTTATAAGTGAGAACCGGTGGTATTTAGTTTTCTGTTCCTGCGTTAGTTTTCTGTTCCTGCGTTAGTTTTCTGAGGATAATGAGCTCCAGCTCCATCCATGTTCCCGCAAAGGATTTGATCTCATTCTTTTTTATAGCTACATAGTATTCCATGGTGTATATGTACCACATTTTCTTTATCTAGTCTATCATTGATGGGCATTTAAGTAGATTCCATGTCTTTACTACTGTGAATAGTGCTGCAATGAACATGTGTCTTTATAATAGAAAACTTTATATTCCTTTGGGCATGTACCCAGTGATGGGATTTCTGGGTCAGATGGTAGTTCTATGTTTAGCTCTTTGAGGAATCACCTCACTGCTTTCCAAGTGGATGAACTAATTTACACTCCAGCCAAGAGTGTATAAGCATTCCTTTTTCTCTACCACCTCACCAGCATGGTTTTATTTCTCTTTATGGCTGAACAGTGTTCCATTGTGTATGTATACCACATTTTCTTTATCGATTCATCTGTTGATGGGCACATAAGTTGATTCCACATCTTTGCTATTGTGGATAGTGCTGTGATAAACACACAGGTGCAGGTTGGGTCTTGTTGATCTGAGCTGACATCAAGTCCTTTCAACGTGGCCTTTGCAGGGACCTGTTCAGGTTTTCCCCCTTGTAAACTGCATGGCTTATGTGTTTCATTTGGTTCCTTCATTTAGATTTACCAAGTAGCTACTATTACCCTGCCTGGCACCAGGGACAGAGATAGGTTACATGTGCATCCTGTTTTAATGTAATCTCCAGAGAGGCGGAGACTGTTTTATTCTACCCTATGTTCCCCAAATGTAAAGGGAGCCCTGCTCATAGTAAACCCTTAATAAATGTTCATTGGGTGGAGGAATAGATTGGAGGAGGCCTGGAAGGAGAGGTGGGGGGCATGGATGGATGAATATGTGGGAGATAAGACTTGTGAACACAAAGGTAACGAGAGTCTCTCATTGGAAGCATGCTGGAGTCATGTGTAGGGAAGGGTCAATGCTAATTGAAATATCAGGAAATTATTTTTAGTGGTGAAGACATTTAAGTCAAATATTAGACGGTACATAAATGTATCCACAATCTCTAGATACACAAAGGGAAGGGCACCCAGGCAGGGGCTCCATGTGGACAAAAGCATGGCGTGTCGGGGACCGTTCCGCCACCTCCTCTTACATGTGACTTCTTTGTTTCTAGGTTATAATGAACCTGGTCCAGATAAGCCTCCTACAAGTAAGTGTTTTTGAATCCAGTGCCCATTTCAATCTCCATGGGTCTTGGTCCAAGCTTTTCTCCTCATTCATAAAGGAAGCTTGCCCCAATTCGGGCTGGTGCCCTGAGGTGGTGAGGGGCAGCGTCTCAGTGGGAGAAGGAATGCTGGGTCCTTGGCCTGTTCTCAGACCTGCAGCCATAGTCTTGGCTTTCTGAATTTTCCATGCCCCTCTGGGTTGGAGGAAGAAGTTTGAACAAGCATTCCCCACAGGGATAGAGGTTGAGGTCAGGTGATGACCTTGTTAGTCCATACCTGCTGATAACAAAGTCTACAAGTGCCCCCAGCAGGGGCCTCATTGTCAAGCTGCAAACTCTGGTGACTGCTCAAGTGATTTTGGCTTAATTTGCCCATTGTCTCATCCAGTGACCCACTCATCTGTCTTTCCAGCCATCCATTCTTCTGTCCTTCTGGTCATCTCTCAGACATCATCCATCTATCTGTCCAGCCATCCATCCACTTTCTGGTCATTTACTTTACTGTAGTAAATAAAGTAAATGGCCAGAAAGTGGATGGATGGCTGGATAGATAGATGGATGATGACCATTTACTTTCTTGTCCTTCCTTCCATCTGTCCTTTTATCCATCTATTCATACATCACCCATCCTCCTGCCCATTCACCTGTTTTTCCCTCCTTTCTTCTATCCTTCTATACATCTATCCAACCATCCATCCATCCACTCATCCACCACCTACCCATCCTTCTGCCCATTCACTTGCTAGCCCCTCCTTCCTTCTGTCCTTCCATCCATCCATCCTCCCATCTTCCTGTGCATTCACCTGCTTGTCCTTCCATCTGTCTTTTTATCCATCTCTGTATCTACCATCCATCCATCCATCCTTCTCCCTATTCACCTGTTTTTCCTTCCAGCCATCCATCTCTCCACTCATCCTCCTCTTCATTCACCTGTTTTCTTCTTTGTGTCTTTCCATCCATCCACCTATCCACCCAGCCATCTCTCCATCCCATTTGTTCACCCAATTGTCATTCCTTCCTTCTGTTCTTCATTTTATTAATTCTTCTACCCATTCACTTATCCATCCATCCATCCATTTATCCATTCGTATGTCTACCCATCCTCCTGCCCAGTTCACCTCCTTGTTCTTTCTTTCCTTCCTTCTTTCATCTCTCCAACTTCTCTTCCTCATTTTTATCCATCTTGCCTTCTCTTTTGACTCACCAGTTGTACATTCCACCTTCTTTCCATTCTTTGATCCCTTTTGTTTTCCTGCCCACGCATCCATCTATCCTTTTTGTTCAACCTTTCTCTTGTTCACCACCCCCCACTCTCTTGGGTGAATTTTACTCACAGGCTTGCTCACCTCTCCACTCACACAGTCACTCCTTCCCTCAATCTCATTTATGGGCCACCTGTGAAGGTCATCCTGGCTTGGACCACTGATGAAGGCCAGGGGAGCTTCTCCCACTGGGTGGTGGGCTTTGTTCCTCTCTGATGGACTATTCCTTCCACAGCTCCCAAGCCAGCCACCACATTCCTGCCTCCTCTGTCAGAAGCCACAACAGGTATCTGGGGCCACTTTTCCTCCTCAACTATTAGACTAGCAGTTCAGTCAGACACTGCCCTCGTGGAGCCCCCAGTCTTATGAGATAAATAGATCTTTATGATATAATGTCAGATGTTTTGGAGTGAGCCATCTGGCATAATTGGGAAGGAGGAGGGCTTTCTGGAGAAAGTTTCACCTGAACTGAGTCTTTAAGGATGAGTAAGAGTGATTCAGGCAAATAGGGCATGAATAGTATTACCGAAAGAGAGGATTCCATAAGCAAAGCCTCAGTGGCCAGAAACAGCATAGACTATAGGGAAAAGTGAGAGGAATTTGATTTGATGAAACATAAAGCTTAACCCAGAGTGGATGGATAAGTGAGGCTGAAAGGTCAGCAGGAGCCAGATTGGAAAGGGCCTTGAATGCCAAGTGAAGAAATTTGAACTTAACACTGAAGGCCATAGACAGCTGTGGATAGTACTAGAGCAGGGGCAGCCCTAATGAGAGTATCATTTCGAAAGATTCCTCTCGTGTTCAGTAGAGAAGCATGCCCTTTAGACAGGGCATCCAGTGAGTCTGCCAGGGTGCTAATCAGGGTGAGAGAAAATAAGGCCTGAACTGGGATGGGGAAGGAGAGAGAGGATATATGTGATGAATATTCAGCAAAGGGAATCGGTGTTACTTGGAGGGGAGGAGATACATAGCTTCTGACTTGGATGGCCACACTGTTAATAGTGAGTGCAAGACTCTGATCTAGTCTCAGACCAGCCTTCAGGTGCAGATGTCTTTCCTCCTCCCCTCCTGCAGCCACAGGGAACCACCTGAAGACGCTCATACTCAGCTTCACCATCTCCAATCTCCAGTATTCACCAGGCATGGGCAATGGCTCAGCTGCATTCAACTCCACGGAGAGGGTCCTGCAGCACCTGGTGAGACCCGTCCCAGCAGGCTCCTGGCGGGATAAATCCTACCCAAACCTCTGTTCCTCTGCTTACCCTCTTCCTCCTTCCTCTCAAGCTCAGACCCTTGTTCCAGAAGAGCAGCATGGGCCCCTTCTACTTGGGTTGCCAACTGATCTCTCTCAGGTAAGACCACTTCCTGGCCACTTGCAAGTAATGACCACCCCTTTTGTGACCACCCCTTTCTCAGCCTTCCCTTGCTCCTCCCTCCTCTGGTCTTTACCTGCAGAGGTGTTAGGAGCTTTCTCGAATCCTCAAATGCCTCTCTCCCCAGGCCTGAGAAGGATGGGGAAGCCACTGGCGTGAACACCACCTGCTCCTACAACCCTGACCCCATGGGCCCCGGGCTGGACATACAGCAGCTTTACTGGGAGCTAAGTGAGCTAACCCATGGTGTCACCCAACTGGGCTTCTATGTCCTGGACAGGGACAGCCTCTTCATCAACGGTGAGTGTCAGGCTGAACTTGGATTTACAGTGACTTTCTGGGGATTTGTTTGTTTTTGAGATGGAATCTCACTCTGTCAGCCAGGCTGGAATGCAATGGTGCAATCTCGGCTCTGCAACCTCGGCCTCCCGGGTTCAAGCAAGTCTCCTGCCTCAGCCTCCGAAGTAGCTGGAGTTACAGGTGCATGCCACCACGCCCAGCTAATTTTTTGGATTTTTAGTAGAGACAGGGTTTCACTATGTTGTCCAGGCTGGTCTCAAACCCCTGACCTCAGGCGATCCCGAAGTGCTGGGATTACAGGCGTGAGCCGCCATGCCCAGCCTACCATGACTGTTATCTGTCCCTATCGTATTCTTTTATTTCTCTAAAAAAAAAAAAACAACCCAAGGCCTGGCTAGGGGGCACTCTTCCCCAGACCACCAAGGAGAGGTCTTTCCCATTGTTTTGAGTAAATAGCGTGGAATTCTCTTACCAAATTAATGTCATAAATTGTCTCTTCCTCCTTCACTTTTGTTTCAAACTTGGTTGCAGTGAAACTATCAAATACGAGTGTAGGTATTTAAGATGTGTAATGTGATGATTTAATATACGTATACTTTATGAAATTACTACCATGATCAAATTAGTTAACACTGCTATCATGTCACATAGTTACCATTTGTGTGTGTGCATCTGTGTGAGTGAGAGAGAGAGAACATTTAAGGTCTACTTTCACAGAAAATTTCAGGTTTTCAATACAGTATTATTAATTATAATCCACCACGCTTTGGCTGGGCACAGTGGCTCTGCCTGTAATCCCAACACTTTGGGAGGCTGAGGCAGGCAAATCATGAGGTCAGAAGTTCGAGACCAGCCTGGCCAAATGGTGAAACTCCATCCCTACTAAAAATACAAAAAATTAGCCAGGCATGGTGGTGAACACCTATAGTCCCAGCTACTTAGGAGGCTGAATCAGGCAGAAGTTGCAGTGAGCTGAGATCACACCACTGCACTCCAGCCTGGGTGACAGAGGGAGAGTCCATCTCAATAAAAAACAAAAATTAAAAAAAATCACTATGCTTTATACTCAATCCCCAGAGCTTACTCATTTTGTAACTAAAATTTGTATTTTGTGACCAAGATCTCCCCATTTTCTGCATCGCCACCCCTACGCCCTTGATAACCAGCATGCCATTCTCTGCTTCTATACATTTGACTCTTTCAGATTCCACATATTAAGTGAGATCATGTGGTATTTGTCTTTCTCTGTCTGGTTTATTTCACTTAGCATAATGCCCCCCAGGTTCATCCATAATGAAGTTCAATTCAAAACCCAAATGCCTGAGCCATGGCATCCTTTGGGACAGTATAGTTGGACAGAAGCAGTTCCTTCTATATGAGGATCCTCTGTGTCAGTGGTTCTTATGGGGGGACACTTCTGCTCCACGCCATCCCCGAGAGACTCTAGGAAATATCTGGAAACATTTTTGTTGTCACAACTCAGGGAGGGAAGGAGGATGCAACTGGCATCTAGTGGGTTGGTAGCCTATTTTCCAGTGCACAGAAGATGCCCACCCCAGGGAATGATCCAGCCCCAAATGCCAATAATTTCAAGGGTGAGAAATCCCACATGGTCCCCGAGTTCCTAGGTGGGTGCAAGACTGACATTTATCACACTTTACTGTAATTACTCCTTAAATTTTTTGAGGTCAGAAGTTTGAGACCAGCCTGGCCAACATAGTGAAACCCTGTCTCTATTAGAAATACCCAATAAACTGGGCATGGTAGCAGCCACCTGTAATCCCAGCTACTTGGAAGTCTGAGGCAGGAGAATTGCTCTAACTCAAGAGGCGGAGGTTGCAGTGAGCTGAGATCATGCCATTGCACTCCAGCCAGGGCAACAGAGCAAGACTCTGCCTCAAAAATAAATAAAATAAAATAAAAAATAAATTTTCTGATTCCCCTTTACCCTGTGAGCTCAACAAAAGTAGGGTACGAGTGCCACTGTACCCTCAATTCTCAGCACATCAGCACATCATAGTATTGAATGAATCATTGAATGTGTGAGCAAATGAAAGATTAGTATCTCTGCTGCAACACACATTGATTCATTCAGCAAACATATATATGTGGCTGTTCTGCCCCAAGCCTTGTGCTGGGTCTGGAGGTAGAAGACACATTTTTCTGTCTCTGAAAAACTCATGCTTGAGTGAACCAAAAATCAGAAGCACAGTAAAGACCCTACTGCTGTTATTAACAGGGTACTATGGGAGCTGAGAGGTGGAGTGAATCAAGGAGGGCTTCCTGGAGGAGGGTGTTACATGCCCAGCCCTGTACTAAGCACCAGGACACAATAGTGAATAAGACAGACATGGGCCCCTGCTGTCCTGGCGCTCCCTCTCACTGGGCTCTTGAAGCACGAACAGAAGTTTTGCAGGAAACGAAAAGGATGTATTCCTAGAAGTGGAAACTGCATAGCACTGCAGGAAAGCTCCGCTCAGGAGAATCCGTGAAAAATTCCAGATTTCCCTCTCTTCGGGGCAACTTTCTGTCTAAGAGCTCCTGCAATACCCAGCATGTGGACCTGAAATGGACTGATTCTGACAGTAGGGAGGGGACCCCTGGGCCATGCTGGCTCTGCATTTTGTGATCAACATCTGCCCACCCATCTATGGTCTTGTTTTCTTCTCTGTGGTTCCAGGCTACGCACCCCAGAATTCATCAATCCAGGGTGAGTACCAGATAAATTTCCGCATCGTCAACTGGAACCTCAGTAATCCAGACCCAACATCCTCAGAGTACATCGCCCTGCTGAGGGACATCCAGGACAAGGTGAGGCATCTCTCACCCTCCCATCTCCCCTGCCCTGTGTGCCTTTCTCCCTCTTCCACCTGACTTGTCTACTAAGTGATGATTTCAAATGCTTCGCTTCACCTACATGTTCTAGGTTCTCTCTCAGTTTCCAAAGGTGCTCTCTTGACTACCATCCCCATTTTCCAGATGGGCAAACTGAGGTTCAGAAAGGGGTGTGGTGTGCCTAGGGTCACATTGTGCCTTAGAAGCAGAGTTAGGATTTGAACTCTGGTCCCCTTTGCTCCTAGTCCTGTGTTTTTTTCCACTGGCATCAGTGGCCCCTCCACACCCAAGAGACTTCCATCTCACCCACTTCCCCTCCTTTTAGGTCACCACACTCTACAAAGGCAGTCAACTGCACGACGTGTTCCGCTTCTGCCTTGTCACCAACTTGACGTAAGTTCTGAAGGTCGCAAGCAGCAGGCAAGCTTGTGGCTGTGTCTCTGAGCACCCTTGAGCTACACGTCCCCACCGGGGTACCCATTCTCCCCTACATCCCTATTAGCTAATCCTACCATCTCCTCCCATAAATCCTCAAGGTAGCAGGTGAGGATTAACCTCATGCAGCCACCAACTCCCAGCATCCACCTTCTTTTTTTTCCTGGACACTTGGGAAAAGATAACTTTTTGATGTAGAACTCAAAATCATAGCCCAATAATAATAACTAACATCAGCCAGCCTCCTCTCATTTAATTCTCACAATAGTCTCTATGAGTTGAGGGCAAAGATCATCCCTTTTATGCAGATGGGAAAATTGAGGGTCAGAAAAGTGAATTTCCCAAATCCATCAAAGTTGAGATTTGAAGGCAGGTCTCTGTTGACTGGGTGAAGGAATGAAGATATCTACACTTGGGAAGAGGAGGGTCACAGGACACAGGGCTGACTGCATATTTCTAAACTTCAAGGATTTTTGTATTTCAAATAAGGATATGGAGATGGTTAATGGGAACAAAAAATTGAAAGGATGAATAAGACCTAGTATTTGCTAGCACAACAGGGTGACTGTAGTCAAAAATAATTTGATTGTACATTTTAAAATATAACTAAAAGTGTATGCTTGGGTTGTTTGTAACAATCCTTTGTAACAAAGGATATATGCTTGAGGAGATTGATTTCCCATTTACCCTGATGTGATTATTATGCATTGTATGCTTGTATCAAAACATCTCATGTACCCCATAAATATATACACCTACTATGTACCCACAACAATTAAAAACAAATGCAATCAAAAGTAGGCTTGGTGCTGTGGCTCACGCCCATAGTCCCAGCACTTTGGGAGGCCAGGGAGGGCAGATCTTTTGAGCCCAGAAGTTCAAGGCTAGCCTGGGCAACATAGGGAGACCTAGTCTCTACAAAAAAATACAAAAATTAGCCAGACATGGTGGCACACACCTGTAGTCTCAGCCACTTGGGAGGCCGAGGTGGAAGGATCACTTGTGCCTAGGAGGTTGCAATGAGCTAAGATTAAGCCACTGCACTCTAGCCTGGGTGACAGAGTGAGACTCTATCTCAAAAATAAAATACAATAAAATAAAAAGCAGAAATCAAGAGGGGAAAAGTGCTGGGATTACAGGCATGAGCCACCTCACCCAGCCAAAGGGTTCCCATTTTTATCAGAACCCTTCTCTAGGCAGCTGGGCACCCCCCACGCCCACCACCAGTTGCCTCTAGGCCTTTGGCTCTTTAAAAACAGCAACCCATGATCTGCTGCTGCTGCTGAGTACCAGCTGAATTCCTGTGATCTCTGTCCCTAGGATGGGCTCCATGTTGGTCACAGTCAAGGCATTGTTCTCCTCCAATCTGGATCCCAGCCTTGTGGAGCAAGTATTTCTAAATAAAACCCTGAATGCCTCATCCCATTGGCTGGGAACCACCTACCAGTTGATGGACATGCATGTGACAGGTACAAGGCGGGTGGCTGGTTTCATAACTGGAAGGGGTGGGGTTATGAGGAAAGATGGGGCGTCTCAGTACCAGTGGAATTGGTGGAGGCTCCATAGAGGGAAAGGGAGGCTTCCTGGAGACCCATGTAGATGACCGCTGGCAGTAGATTATCTAACAGGGCAGGAACAGAACACTCAGCCATTGCACCTAAGAGAACAGCGATTTTTACATGTAAAAAAAAAATTATTTTGAATGAATGAATCAATAAATCAATGCATTCATTCATTCATTCAATAAACAATGAAAGTAAACAAGCGCTGATGATACAGTGTGATAATTGCTATGCTAAGGGAATTTCAGGAGCCTGTAGGAGCCCCAGGGAGGGACACACAACCTTGTCTTGGAAAGTTGTCTCTAGGAAGGGATGATGAAGCTGAGATCTGACAGAGAAAGGGACCTAGCCACGGGGAGCAGATGGAGAATTGTCCTCCATGCGTCTATAGCCTAGAAGATAGAATATGGCGTTCTGGGGGAAGTTGTAAAAAGATTGGTGAGCTGGAGTATCCACTTTGATATTGGAGAGGTGACTGTTGAAGCCAAAGATATGGGCAGAGACTTTGTTAGGTACTGGAATGGCTTAGGGAGGAATGTGACACACTCATGAGTTCTGCTTTAGAAAGTGAAATGAGGCTGGGTCTGGTGACTCACGCCTGTAATCTCAGAACTTTGGGAGGCCAAGACGGGTGGATCACAAGGTCAGGAGTTCAAGATCAGCCTAGACAATATGGTGAAACCCCATCTCTACTAAAAGTACAGAAATTAGCCAGACTTGGTGGTGCACACCTGTAGTCCCAGCTACTCGGGAGACTGAGGGAGGAGAATCACTTGACCCCAGGAGGTGGAGGTTGCAGTGAGCCAAGATTATGCCACTGCACTCCAGCCTGGATGACACAGTAAGACTCCATCTAAAAAAAAAAAAAAAAAGAATTTTGCTTATCCTCTGGGTGCTGTGTGCAGAATGGAGGGTGAATGGGGAGAGAAGAGCAAAGGCAGGAAGACCCCTTAAGAACAAAGATCATCAGAAGACTCAGCAAATATGTGTAGTAGATGCCTGCTGGCTTGGTCAGCACCTGCGCTTGCTGACTACACCCACAGAAAACCCAGTCTCTTTTCACTCATTTTGTAGGAAATTTTTACAAGGCTTGGTAGAAAGAGAGTTGGACACATAGATGGGTGGATGGATACAACTTGGACAGATGGATGGAGGAAGACCCTCCTTCCAATATAGAGCTGCTACCTAAAACCCTTTCTCCCATCTTCAAAAACCTAGCTCAGCTGTCACTGCCAGGGATAAGTAGGCTAGCTGCAATAATCTCTTTCTTGAACCCCCACTCCTTGATAGTGGATTTTTACATACTTTTTTTTTTTTAATTCTAGAAATGGAGCCATCAGTGTATCAACCCACGAGCAGTTCCAGCACCCAGCACTTCCCCCTGAATTTCACCATCACCAACCTACCGTATTCCCAGGACGGAGCCCACCCAGGCACTGCCAATTACCAGAGGAACAAAAGGAATATTGAGGATGCGGTGAGAAGGGGGTGGTGTGTCCACTCTGTTTCCGTGCAGAAACCCACTTATGCATACTGGGTAGCCACAGAGTGACTTTTAAAAATAATCCACAAAAACAGGTTCTTATTCCCATTTAAGATGGCACAGAGAGGTTCAGTAGCTGATCCAAGGTCACACAGCTAAGTCATACCCTAGAAGAGCATGTCTTTTGACATACACACCTGTGCAAGTGTTTGTCATGACAAGAAAAAAAATAGATGGAGAAGTGTGCTCAGTGGCTTGAAAATTCTCCAGTGCTACTGGGGCCAGGAATCTGACCTAAGAAACATCACCCTGTCTTTCAGCTCAACCAAGTCTTCCGAAACAGCAGCATCAAGAGTTATTTTTCTGACTGTCAAGTTTTAACATTCAGGTGAGTTCTAACTCAGGACCTGATGACTCTGGGAACTTCTCCCATCCTTTAAATAGAACTGTCCCCAAGCCATAACGTTGTTGGAAGAGAGCCCTAGGAATGTAGAGCTGTTACCTAAAAACCAGCTTTTTCCTAAAGCTGGAGCCCAACTGGCTTCAACACTCAAGAGAGCCAGTGTAAATCTCAGCTTGCTGACTACACCCCCAGAGAAACCCAGTCTCTTTTCACCCACATTGTAGGGAATTATTACAATGCTTGGTAGAAAGAGAGATGGACAGGTAGATGGGTGGATGGATACAAGTTGGACAGATGGATGGAGGAAGACCCTCCTTCCAATATAGAGCTGTTACCTAAACCCCTTTATCCCAGCTTCAAAAACCTAGCACAGCTCACACTGCCAGGAATAAGTAGGCTAGCTGCAATAATCTCTTTCTTGAACCCCTACCCCTTGATAGTGGATTTTTTTTTTCTTAAGGTTATACCTGAGTTAGTGGATTTTTACATACTTTTTTTTTTTATGATGCTGAGGCTGTAGAATCTAGAGTGTAGAATCTACTACATTAAGACATCAGCTGGTTGGGCACAATGGCTCACGCCTGTAATCCCAGCACTTTGGGAGGCTGAGGTGGGCAGATCATGAGGTCAGGAGTTCAAAACCAGCCTGGCCAACATAGTGAAACCCCATCTCTACTAAAAATAGAAAAAATTAGCTCGGAGTGCTGGTGGGAGCCTGTAATCTCAGCTACTTGGGAGGCTGAGGCAGGAGAATCGCTTGAACCTGGGAGGTGGAGGTTGCAACGAGCTGAGATCCCTCCAGCGCAGGTGGCATTGTGAGACTCTGTCTTGGGGAAGAAAAAAAAAAAAAAAAAAAGACATCAGCTACTGAAATCAGGATCATGGAAGATGGGGGAAGGAGGGGACTAAAACCAGATGACTTGGTATCCAGCAGCCTAACTGTCCTTTCCAATAAGGGGTGTTATTTCCAATGGGGGAATATTGACATTTTTTTTTTTTTTTGACAAGTGTCCTCAGAACAGGCTTTCCTCCCTACGCAAGTTCTGAGTCAGACCAAATAAAGACAGGCTGTGAGAATAAGGCTTTTTCAAGGAGCTGCCAAACAGATCAAGTAGTGACAGGACTGATGGCTGGAGAACTCCAAAGCTACTGCTAGGCAGCCGGTTTTCACAGGTATCATGATTCTGAGGCTGCTGGTTTTCAAAATAACTGAGGATCTCGCCAGATGCAGTAGCTCACACCTGTAATCCCAGCACTTTAGGAGGCCAATGCGGGCAGGTGGCTTGAGCTCAGGAGTTTGAAACCAGCCTGGGCAGCATGGTGAAACCCCATCTCTACAAAAATTACAAAAATCAGCTGGGCATAGTGGTGTGCACTTTAGTCCCAGCTACTTAGAAGTCTGAGATAGAATGGTTTGAGCCCAGGAAGCAGAGGTTGCAGTGAGCCGAGATGGCGCCACGCACTCCAGCCTGGGCAACAGAGCCAGAGCCTGTCTCAAAAAAACAAAAAAACAAAAAAAACTGAGGATCTTGAAAGAGCACTATGAAAATAATGCAAGTTAAAATGCCACAAGTCTTGCTTTTTTTTTTTACTGAGATTTAACACTTTCCTTAACCAAACACCCCTCAAATTTTTGCAAGCCTTTGGTTCATTTCTAGGCTTCTGAAAAAGTTGATTTTGACTATTTTGAACAACATTCTCATTGATTTTATAGGTCTTCAGACATCATTACCCCAACATTCCAGGAATGTTCTCCCTGTGACTGTTGTTTATTTTTATCTTTTTTTTTTTTTTTTTTTTTTTTTTTTGAGACAGAGTCTGTCTCCGTTGCCCAGGCTGGAGTGCAGTGGCATAATCTCAGCACGCTGCAAACTCCATCTCCTGGGTTCCAGCCATTCTCCTGCCTCAGCCTCCCAAGTAGCTGGGATTACAGGCGCCCGCCACCATACCCAGCTGATTTTTGTATTTTTAGTAGAGATGGGGTTTTATTATGTTGGCCAGGCTGGTCTTGAACTCCTGATCTCAAGTGATTCAGCCACCTTGGCCTCCCAACGTGCTGGGATGACAGGAATGAGCTACTGCGCCTGACCACCCTGTGGTTATTTTTAAATAAATTAAGTAGAATAAAATTAGAAATGCAGTTCTTCTCCCATCCTAGCTACATTTTAAGTGTTTAACAACAACTTGAAGCTACTGATGGCTGCACTGGGTAGGGCAGACATAGAATGTTTACATCATTGCAGAAAGTTCCTGCAGAAAGAGCCAAGAAGGAGGAAGCCTAGAATCCTGATAGAATTGCAGGGATCTTGGCTTATCCCTCGTCCCCTTCCAGGTCCGTCCCCAATAGCAGCCACACTGGGGTGGACTCTCTGTGTAACTTCTCACCACTGGCTCGGAGGATAGACAGAATTGCCATCTACGAGGAATTCCTGCGGATGACGCAGAATGGCACCCAGCTGCAGAACTTCACCCTGGACAGGAACAGTGTCCTTGTGGATGGTAAAGCTCCCTGGTCATTGGGGCTGGGGTGGGAGCTCCCACTTCCTCACCTGGGTTCTTCCCTGGGAATCAGAAAGCTTAGAGGTGATTCACCATTGAACTTTCTCAGACTGGGAGAAGGTGGCTTAGTTCTCCTAGGCTTTACCCATCATTGAAGGAAAGAAAAGAACACCCAAGGAATACAGGAGGCATTTGCCCTCTTCTGGCCAGGTCTGTGACCTCAGACTAGTCACATCCCCTCCCTGGACTTCTTATCTCTGTACTTAGCAAGCCACTTGGTTTTTGGCTCCCCTCTTGCCTGCCCTAGATGGATTTTTTCTCCACCCCAGGCAGCTGCAGTATTAAATGATTACCCTGATTGGTTTTTGTTGTTGTGGTGGTGCTGTTTGTTTGTTTGTTTGTTTGTTTGTTTTTGAGAGAGGGTCTCACTCTGTCATCTAGGCTGGAGTGCAATGGCATGATCTTGGCTCACTGCAGCCTCAATCCCTGGGCTCACCCACCTCAGCCTCCTGAGTAGCTAGGATTACAGGCATGTGCCACCACACCTGGATAATTTTTGTATTTTTTCTAGAGATGGGGTTTTGCCATGTTGCCCAGGCTGGTCTGGAACTCCTGAGCTCAAGCAGTCCACCTGCTTCAGCCTCCCAAAGTCCTGGGATTACAGGCAGGCATGCACCACTGCATCTGGCTCTAGTTTTTGTTTTTGTTTTTGTTTTTTTCTTTTAGAGGTGAGGTCTCACTCTGTTACCCAGAATGGAGCACAGTGGTGCAGATGTATCTCACTGCAGCCTTGAACTCCCAGGTTCAAGTGATCCTCCCACCTCAGCCTCCCAAGTAGCTGGGACTACGGGCACATGTCACCACGCCTTCCTCATTTCTAAATTTTTTGTAGAGACAGGTTCTCACTATGTTGCCCAGGCTTGTCTCTAACTCCTGGCCACAAGGGATCTTTCTGCCTCCACGGGTCAATGAGGGCTTTCAGTTTCAAGTTGTATGTGATTCATCCTCATGTGATAGGATGGACCTATTTTCCAACTCCAGAGATGGCTTCGAGGTGGCTCAACTTTGCATATCCAAATTTACCCAGTCAAAGAACAGTTATATACATTGTACCATGTATCAGAAATGTAACAGAGAATAACTGTCCGCTTTTTCACCACTGTATTCCAAGAACCCCATATTCTTCTGGCACATAATAAATACTAATATTTACAGAAGGAATAACTAGATTTCATACAAGGTTCTTTTCAGGTCAAATGTGATTAACATATTAGATGAGACCTTCCAATGCCTGTGTGCACTCTCCTTGGTTCTGAATTGTTGTGCGAGAGGGTACTGTTGATTATTTAGAATCAACAAGCCTTAGACCAGGCCCTGTGGCTCGTGCCTGTAATCCCCACATTTTGGGAGGCTGAGGCAGAGGGATCACCTGAGTTGGGAGTTTGAGACCAACCTGACCAACATGGAGAAACCTTGTCTCTACTAAAAATACAAAATTAGCCAGGTTTGGAGGCGCATACCTGTAGTCCCAGCTACTCGAGAGGCTGAGGCAGGAAAATCTCTTTAACCCAGGAGGCAGAAGTTGCACCATTGCACTCCAGCCTGGGCAACAAGAGCGAAACTCCATCTCAAAAAAAAAAAAAAAAAAAAGAATCAACAAGCCTTTCACATGCCCATCACAGGTTTTTGTTGTTTTACTTTTTTTTTTTTTTTTAAGTAAAATTTGTTGTCAGCTCACAGGCTTTCTAAAAACAGGCCATGGACCCAACATGGCTGTAGTTTGCCAAACCTTGCCTTGAATCAGCACCACCCAGTAGAACTTTCTGCAGTGGTAAAAAAATGTTTCTATCTGTGCCATTCAGCACAGCAGCCATGTGTGATTACCAAGTGCTTGAAGTGTGGTTAATGTAACAGATACTGAAGTTTTCATTTTAATTTAAAAAGCCACTTGTGGCTGCTGTATATTGCAAACCACTTTTTTATATGATTATTTGTATCTATTTAAGGGGTACATTTGTATCTAGTTAAGTGGTACAAGTGCAATTTTGTTGCTTGTATATATTGCCCAGTGGGGACATCTAGGCTTTTAGGGTATTCATTACTTGAATGAGGTACATTGTATCCATCGAGTAATTTATCATCATCCACTCTCCTCCACTCCCCAACCCTGGCAACTCTGTTGTCTGTTATTCCACTCTCTGTGTCCATGCCTATGCATTATTTAGCATTGACATGTCTATGCACGATTTAGTCAAATACATGTGATAGCTGGGCGTGGTGGCTCACATCTGTTATCCCAGCACTTTGGGAGGCTGAGGTGGGTGGATTACGAGGTCAGGAGTATGAGACAAGCCTGACCAACATGGCGAAACCGCCTCTCTACTAAAAATACAAAAATTAGGCTGGGCGCGGTGGCTCACGCCTGTAATCCCAGCACTTTGGGAGGCCGAGGCGGGTGGATCACAAAGTCAAGAGATCGAGACCATCCTGGTCAACATGGTGAAACCCCATCTCTACTAAAAAAATACAAAACATTAGCTGGGCATGGTGGCACGTGCCTGTAATCCCAGCTACTCAGGAGGCTGAGGCAGGAGAATTGCCTGAACCCAAGAGGAGGAGGTTGCGGTAAGCGGAAATCGCACCATTGCACTCCAGCCTGGGTAACAAGAGCGAAACTCTGTCTCAAAAAAAAAATTAGCCCAGCACGGTGGTGGTCACCTGTGATCCCAGCTATTCCAGAGGCTGAGGCAGAAGAATCGCTTGAACCCGGGAGGTGGAGGTTGCAGTGAGCTGAGGTCATGCCACTGCACTCCAGCCTGGGTAACAGAGCAAGACTGCATCTCAAAAAAAAAAAAAAAAAATGTGGTATTTTAGTTTCTGTATCTGAATTGTTTGACTTAAGATAATGACCTTCATTTCCATTCAAGTAGCTGCAAAAGACATGATTTCTTTTTTGTGTGTGTGCCTGAGTGGTACTGTATTTGTGTGTGTGTGTGTGTGTGTGTGTGTGTGTGTGTGTGTGTGTGTATCACATTTTCTTTATACAGCCCTCCATTGACAAACACTTAGGTTGATTCCATATGTTTGCTATTGTGAATAGTTCTGTGATAAACACACAGGTGCAGGTGTCTTTTTGATACAATTATTTATTTTCCTTTGTGTAGATACCCCATAGTGGGATTGCTGGATCAAATGGTAGCTCTATTTTTAGTTCTTTGAGAAATCTTTATACTGTTTTCCATAGAGGTTGTATTAAATTATATTCCCACCAACAGTATATAAGAGTTCCCTTTTCTTGCATCCTCTCCAACATCTGCTATTTTTTGTCTTTTTAGTAATCGCCCTTCTGACTGGTGTAAGGTGGTATCTCATCATGGTTTTCACCTGCATTTCTCTATTAGTGATGCTGAGCATTTTTTCATATGCTTGTTAGCCATTGGTATGTCTTCCACATCTTTATGAAGTTGGTTATAACAGAGTTGCAGTAGAGGAACCAATAACCCTTTGCCCCATGCCTGATGGTTGCTTTACATCCCTATCTTCATGAAGTTTTTGAGGTAGTGAGGTATAACAAGAATAGGCAGTTGTCGATTATTAATTATTTGATGTGAACCTGTCCATACTTGGGTGTGGTCATCAGGGAAGGCTTCCTGGAGGAAATGACATTAAAGATGAATTCTAAAATATGAGGATAGGCTGGGCACAGTGGCTCATGCCTATAATCCCTGCAGTTTGGGAGGCCAAGGCAGGTGGATCACCTGAGGTCAGGAGTTGAGACCAGCCTGACCCACATAATTAAACTCTGTCTCCACTAAAAATACAAAAAAAAAAAAAAAAAAAAAAAAAAAGCCAGGCATGATGTTGGGTGCCTGTAATCCCACCTACTCTAGAGACTGAGGCAGGCAAATCACTCGAACCTGGGAGGCAGAGGTTGCAGTGAGCTGAGAGCGTGCCATTTCACTCCAGCCTGGGCAATGAGCAAAACCCCATCTCAAAAAAAAAAAAAAACAAGTAAACAAACAAAAAAAGATGAGGATGAAACAACCAAGTGAAGGAGAGCTTAAATGTATTCTTAGGCAGAAGAAAAACTTTCAGGTGAGAATTTGAAAACTTAGAGTGATCCCATGGGCTTCCAACTGCAATGATCCATTCTCTCCACCACCCTCATTGGGCCCAGCCCACCAAGCCCAGAGGCATGAATTTAACTTATGACAGTCTTGTGGCGGGATAATTGCTTGGCACAAGTCCTCATTTTTTTTAGAGATATGAATTGGGATATTTGGGGTGAGATGTCATGATGTCTACTGGCCTCTAAAACTACGGCAAAAACATTTAAGTTCACCGAAATGTCAATAAGTAATACACTGAATGTATAGGTTTTAGTTGGAGAAAATATTAATCACTAAATCCAGGTTATTATACTCTTCTCTCTGCTTTTTTGTATGCTTGTAAAGTTGTATTAAAAGAATAAGACACACTCACATGCACCATCCATTTCTTTCATTTTTAGGGTATTCTCACAACAGCAATGAGGCCTTAACTGGGAAGTCTGGTAAGTCTCAAAAAAGCCCCAGCCCAGGGAAAGGAGGGGGTCACTTGATGGTGCTTCACCTTGTCCAAGAGCATCGTGCACACACAGTCTTGGATGACCAACCAAGGCAAAGACTATTGAGGCACAGTGAAGGGATAGCAGGGATCCTGGCTTGCTGGGGCCTCACTTTTGGGGAGCATCAGAGGCATGAAGTGTTGAGTCACTAAGCTCTCCTCCCCTGGGCTGTGCCCATCCTCAGGCCACATAGGGTCCAAGAAGGAGCCCTGGGATGTGGCAGGAGGTGGCTTACCCTAACCCTTGTCTCCCTAGACCTTCCCTTCTGGGCCATCATCCTCATCTGCTTGGCGGGACTCCTGGGACTCATCACATGCCTGATCTGTGGTTTCCTGGTGAGCAAGGAAGGGTTGCTTGTCTTCTTACTATTGGGTTGTAAGAGTTTTTGATATATATACATACATACACACACACACACACATATACACTATATGTACATATACACATACACACATACACACACACGCACACACACACATAGAGTTATATGGATAAATAGATCATCGCAGGCCAGGCACAGTGGCTCATGCCTATAATCCCAGCACTTTGGGAGCCCAAGGCAGGCGGATCATAAGGTGAAGAGATCAAGACCATCCTGGCCAAAATGGTGAAACCGCATCTCTACTAAAAACAATTTTTTTTGAGATGTCTCTCTGTCACCCAAGCTGGAATACAGTGGCATAATCTCGGCTCATTACAACCTGTGCCTCCCGGTTTCAAATGATTCTCTTGCCTCAGCCTCCCGAGTAACTGGGACTACAGGCATGCACCACAATGCCTGGCTAATTTTTATATTTTTAGTAGAGACAGTGTTTCATTATGTTGGCCAGGCTGGTCTTGAACTCCTGACCTCATGATCCACCTGCCTCAGCCTCCCAAAGTGCTGGGGTTACAGGTATGAGCCACCATGTCTGGCCAAGAGTTTTTAATATATTCTACACCTATACTATAGTATACTATACTATACTATACTATACTATACTATACTATACTATACTATACACAAGTCCTTTGCTGGATAAATGTTTTGCAAATATGTTCTCCCAGTTCATGGAGTGGCTTTCCTATTTTCTTTTTATAATTGTATTTTTAATTAATTGATAAATAATGAATGCATATATTTATGGGATACAATGTGATGCTTTAGCATATGTACAATTATGGAATGACTCAATCAAGCTAATTAATATGTCCCTCACCTCTCATACTTATTATTTCTTTGTGGTGTGAACATTGGCAACCTACACTCTTAGCAATTTTGAGATCTACGTTATTATTAACTATAGTTACTACGTTGTGCAGATCTCAAAAACTTCACAACCTATATGCTGATTACAAGATACTGAGTGAAAAAGTGATTGCCAAGAGTGTAAATAAAAGGATGTAAGAGAGAAAAAAATGTAACAACATTAGTCATGAGGGAAATGTACATGGAAGTCACAATGAGAGGCCACTTTGCACAAGAATGGATAAAATTGAAAAGATCGACTATAACAAGTGTTGGTGAAAATGTGATATAACTGGAATTCTCTTAAAGCACTAGTGGAAAATAGCTTGGCCACTTATTTGAAAATTACACACACCTTCCATAAGACCCCACCATCCCACTTCTAGCAATTTATCTAAGAGAAATAAAAACATGTCCATATGAAGGCTTGTACAAAAATGTTCATAACAGCTTTATTTGTAATAGCCAAGCTCTGAAAACAACCCTGATGTCTGTTAACAAATATATCCTGAAAATGGAATATTATTCAGCAACAAAAAGGAATTAATTATTAATAAATTATACAGCAACATGTATAAATTACAAAATACTTATGCCTAGTGAAAGAATCCAGACAAAGAAAAGAGTATATGCCATATGATTCCCTTTATAGACAAATTTTAGTAAATACAAACTAATCTGTAAAGAGAGAAATCAGATTAGTGGTTGCCTGAGAATGAGAACGTGTTTTCAGTGGCAGGGAAAAGGGAATTGTAAAAGAGCAGAAGGAAAATTTTGGGGTTTTTTTTGTTTTGTTTTTTGTTTTTTGTTTTTTTGAGACAGAGTCTTGCTTTGTTGCCCACGCTGGAGCACAATGGTGCGATCTCGGCTGACTGCAACCTCCGCCTCCCAGGTTCAAGTGATTCTCCTACCTCAGCCTCCCAAGTAGCTGGGATTACAGGGGCGCACCACCACAGCCAGCTAATTTTTGTATTTTTAGTAGAGATGGGGTTTTACCATGTTGGCCAGGTTGATCTCAAACTCCTGACCTCAGGCAATCCACCTGCCTTGTCCTCCCAAAATGCTGGGATTACAGGCATGGACCACCACACCTGGCCAAGAGTAAAGTTTTGGGGATGATGGATAGATGTTCCTTATCTTGATTGTGGTGCTGGTTCAATAAGGTATGATTAGAAGTTACCAAAACGTTCATTTTAAATGCATGCCATTTATTTTATGTCAGTTATGCCTCAGTTAAGCTGGACGGGTATAGAGAAGGAAAGAAGTGAGAGAGAGGGAGAGGCTGAGACCAGTACCAAAAGCCAGAGAAAAAGAGACTGAGAATGAGATGAGAGAGAAATGATATTTAGACAGAGGACAGGAGATAGATGATTGACAGTTGATAGATGATTGGTGGATAGTTGATAGGTAGATGATAAATAGATGATTCTTACAGGTAATTGATAGACGATAAATAGACAAGTAATAGGTAGTTGATAGATATTGTTAAATAGATGATAAATAGATGATTGATGACAGGTGATTGATAGATGATTGATAGATTATAAATAGCAGATGATTGAGAGATGAGAGATAATTGATAGTTATTGATAGGTAGATAATTGATTGACAGATCGATAAATACTGATAGCTACATGATAGATAAATAGATCATCGCAGGCCGGGCACGGTGGCTCATGCCTGTAATCCCAGCACTTTGGGAGGCCAAGACAGATGGATCACAAGGTGAAGAGATCAAGACCATCCTGGCCAACACTGTGAAACTGCATCTCAAAAATACAAAAATTAGCTGGGAGTGGTGGTGGGTGCCTGTAGTCCCAGCTACTCGGGAGGTTGAGGCAGGAGAATCTCTTGAACTCACTTGAACTCAGTCGCAGTGAACTGAGATCACGCCACTGCAGTCCAGCCTGGGGGACAGAGTGAGACTCTGTCTCAAAAAATAAATAAATAAATAAATAAATAAATCATTGGTAGATCTGTGATATACTGATAACGAAATTCAGGGACAAGGGGAGAGAGAAATGAAGGGGATATGAGAGGGGGAAACTTTTTTTAAACTGAGAGTAAAACGAGAGAGAAGAAAAGAAGTAGTGAAGAGAGGAAAAGAAGAGAGGGAGAAAGAAAATGGAACAAGGAAGGGAGACAAAGGAAGCATCAGGTCTCTGGCTTTGGCCATAGTCTCACCCCTGTGGCTGTCCCCTCCCTGGATGGCTGACCTGTCCATTCTCATGCCTCCTCCTCGCCCTCACAGGTGACCACCTGCCGGCGAAAGAAGGAAGGAGAATACATCATCAGGCAAGAGCACCCAGGCTACTGCAAGTCACACCTAGACCTGGAGGATCTGCAATGACTGGAACTCCCCGGTGCTCGGGGTCCCTTTTCCCCAGCCAGGGTGCAAAGAAACTGAGCTGGGGCAGAAATAAACCATGCTGATTGGACACAAGTCTCTGAGCCTTTCTTGACATGACCCTTGACTGGTTCATGTTGGGCTAAGAGAACAGTCTTCCCCCTTCATGAAGTCCTGAAGGCAACCCCCAGTTGTGTTTTGTGGCTTCACACCATGGCATCCCTTAGGAACAGCAGAATTGGTGAAACTGGTTGTATTTGGCTCTTCTTGCACTGGGACAAAGGAATAACAGGGCGGGCTCAATGGCTCACACCTATAATCCCAGCACTTTGGGAGGCCAAGGCAGGTGGATCACTTAAGGTCAGGAATTCAAGACCAGGCTGGCCAACTTGATGAAACCCTTTCTCTACTAAAAATACAAAATAAAATTAACTGGGCATGGTTGCCCATGCCTATAATCCCAGCTACTTGGGAGGCTGAGGCAGGAGAATCGCTTGAACCAGAGAGTCGAAGGTTGCAGTGAGCTGAGATCACGCCACTGCACTCCAGCCTGGCGACAGAATAAGACTCCATCTCAAGAAAAGAAAAGAAAAATTAGCTAGGCATGGTGGTGCATGCCTGTAATCCCAGCTACTCAGGAGGCTGAGGCACAAGAATCACTTGAACCCAGGAGGCGGAGGTTGCAGTGAGCTGAGATCATGCCACTGCACTCCAGCCTGGGTGACAGAGTGAGACTGTCTCAAAAAAAAAAAAAAAAAAACACCTGGCTGGGCCCAGTAGCTCACATCTGTAATCCTAACACTATGGGGGACCAAAGCAGGCAGATTGCTTGAGTCCAGGAATTGCAGACCAGCCTGGGAAACATGGCAAAATGCTGTCGCTCAAAAGACTTTAAAAAATAGCCAGGCATGGTGGTATGTTCCTATAGTCCCAGCTACGTGGGAGGCAGAGGTGGGAGGATCACCTGAGCCTGGGATGTCGAGGCAGCAGTGAAATATGATTGTACCACTGGACTGCAGCCTGGGTGACAGAGTGAGATACTGTCTCAAAGAAAGAAAAAATAAATACCTGAGACTGGGCAGTTTATAAAGAAAAGAGGCAGGGCCGGGCGCAGTGGCTCACGCCTGTAATCCCAGCACTTTGGGAGGCCGAGGCGGGTGGATCATGAGGTCAAGAGATCGAGACCATCCCGGTCAACATGGTGAAACCCCATCTCTACTAAAACTACAAAAAATGAGCTGGGCATGGTGGCGCGTGCCTGTAATCCCAGCTACTCAGGAGGCTGAGGCAGGAGAATTGCCTGAACCCAGGAGGCGGAAGTTGCGGTGAGCCGAGATCGCGCCATTGCACTCCAGCCTGGGTAACAAGAGCGAAACTCTGTCTCAAAAAAAAAAAAAGAAAGAAAGAAAAGAGGCTTAATTGGCTCACAGTTCTGCAGGCTGTGCAGGAAGCATGATGCCAGCATCTGATCAGCTTCCGGGGAGGTCTCAGAAAGCTTCCAATCATGGCAGAAGGCTAAGGGAGGGCCAGCATGTCACATGTCCACAGCAGGTGCAAAAGAGAGTTGCAGGGAGCAAAAGTGCCACACAATTAAACAATCAGATCTCACAAGTACTGACTCCCTGTTGCAAAGGCAGCATCAGACCATGAAGGATCTGCCTCTATGACCCAAGCACCTCCCACCAGGCTCCACCCACTTCCAACACTGGGGATTACAATTCAGATTTGGTGGGGACACATATTCAAACTATATTACTAATGATATGGATGAGGGCAGGGAAATACTGGGTAGAAGAGAGAGTGGTTCTCCAGCAAAAGCCCCACCCTCAAGCCTGGAGACCCGTGGCCCTAAATGGGAACAAGCATTCCTGTTTTCATGCCCAAAAGTTGCCTTTTGGCCCTCCATGCTCCCCTATCCTGTCCCATATAAGCCCCAAACTCCACAAGCAGATGAGACAAACAGAAGAGCAGAGGAATGGCAGAATGGCACAGCAGCAAAAAGAGAGGAGTTCAGCTGGGAATAGTCAGAGAGGAGACCAGCCACTGGACAGCCAAACTTCAGGGTAAGATCATCTTCCCACTCCATCTCCCTTCCAGCTCCCTATCCAACCCACTGAGAGCCACCTCCCCTATTCAATAAAACCCCTGCATTCATCCTTCAAGTCTATGTGTGACCTGATTCTAGAGGACACTGAGCTGGTTAACACTTAAGCCATCCACAGACAGCAAGGCTAAAGGGAGTTGCAGTCTCCCACCCCTGGACACTGCCATGGGGTCAGAGCCAAGGGGTACTCGCCCCAGCTTTTGCACCTGTCTGTCTGCATGCTCTGCCTCCCATGAGGGGTTTGAGTTAGTGAATTTCTTTATCAATATATCACATATCTACCAATGATCTATTTATCATCTAGCTATCAATATTTAGCGATCTGTCAATTATCTATCAATAACTATCAATTATCTCCTCTCAATCATCTGCTATTTATAATCTATTAATCATCTATCAATCACCTATCCATCATCTATGTATCATCTACTTATCAATATCTATCAACTATTACCTGTCAATTTATCATCTATCAATTATCTATCAAAAATCATCTATCATCTACCCATCAACTATCCACCAATCATCTATTAACTATCAATCAGCTGAACAGATGAGCCACAACCTGTTGCACATCCTGCAAGGGGGTCAGGGAATTCTCCTCTTTCACTGATAGAGAAATTGCCATCATGGAGGCCAGGGGCAGTGGCTCATGCTGGTAATCCCAGTACTTTGGGAGGCCGAGGTGGGTAGATCACCTGAGGTCAGGAGTTTGAGACCAGCCTGGCCAACATGGTGAAACCCTGTGTCTACTAAAAATAGAAAAATTAGCTGGGTGTGGTGATGGGCACCTGTAATCCCAGCTACTTGGGAGGCTGAGGCAGGAGAATCCACCGAGAGGTGGAGGTCGCAGTGAGCCAAGATCGCATCATTGCACTCCAGCCTGAGTGACAGAGCAAGATTCCATCTCAAAAAAAAAAAAAAAAAAAAAAAAAATTTCCATGGTGGAAAATCAACATTCCACTTCAGTTTGAGGTCTCTCTCCTTTGTCATCCAGTACACAACCACGCTTGACTCCTATACCAGCCATCACACCCATGCTGATCCTTTATATTCCCATACCCCACCCCAGCAGAAACCCTGGCAGTTCCAAGTTTCTCTTACGCTATTTTATTCTCTGAGACTATAAGTACCAGAATTTCCATATTAATGTTCCCTGGGCAGCTTCTTCCCCATCGCACGGGTCCTCTAAGGTGGGAAGCAGACCAGGAAGAAATGAATGTGTCAGAAATGGTTCTCCAGGCCAGGCACCGTGGCTCACCCAGCACGTTGGGAAACTGCAGTGGCAGAAGGACTGCTTGAGGCCAGGAGTTAGGGACCAGATTTGGCAACATAACAAGAAAAAAAGAAAAAAAAAACAGCTAAATGTGGTGGCACACACCTGTAGTCCCAGCTACTAGCGAGGCTGAAGCAGGAGGATCCCTTGAGCCCAGGAGGTTGAGGCTGCAGTGTGGTCACACCACTGCACTCCAGCCTGGGCAACAGAGTGAGACCCCATCTCTAAAAAAGAAAAATAGAGTGCAATATCTATATTATTTATAGTTTCCCTAAAAATTGATTATTTTAAAATTTCATCTTTTCTGCTCTGTGCCTCCACGTGGTAATCGTCTGAATCCTAGAATGTGGTTCTTTTTGCTTTGTTTTGTTTTGTTGAGATGAAGTTTCACTCTTGTTGCCCAGGCTGGAGTGCAATGGCATGATCTCGGCTCACCGCAACCTCTGCCTCCCAGGTTCAAGCAGTTCTCCTGCCTCAGCCCCCTGAGTAACTGGGATTACAGGTATCCGTCATCACACCCAGCTAGTTTTTGTATTTTTAGTGGAGACAGGGTTTCACCATGTTGGCCAGGGCTGGTCTGGAACTCCTGACCTCAGGTGATCCAACCACCTCGGCCTCCCAAAGTGCTGGGATTACAGGCGTGAGCCACCGCGTCCAGGCTTAGAATGTGTTTTAATGTTTTATTTGTATTTGCTTGAAAACAAATACAAATAGACTACATCCAGTCTATTTGACTTTTTTTAGATTCCACATAGAAGTGGGTCAATGCAGTATTTTTGTTTTTGTGTCTGACTTAATTCACTTATCTTAAAGTCAGTAGGCAGTGATCAAGGTCTTGAAATTATTCAGCGCTTTGTCCTCATAGTCACGGGATAAACCCTACCTAATCAGAATCAATTATTTTTGTGAAATATCCTAGTGAATTCCAGAATAATATATCATGAGTTTTGTATATCTACATTTTCAAATAAGCTATCTAACTCTAGTTATTTTTCTGTTCTTGATTGCCTGATAATTCAGAGTTGCATTTAATGAAATACCAGACTGTCTCTGATTCTCTAGATGTACATGTGTTTGGAATTTGATTCAGGAAAGCTGACACAATTTGTGGGGTAATAATAGCAAGAGAAACTTTTTAAGCCAGGTGTGGTGGCTTATGCCTGTAATCCCAGCACTTTGGGAGGCTGAGGCAGGTGAATCACTTGAAGTTGAGACCAACCTGACTGACATGATGAAACTCCATCTCTACTAAAAATACAAAAATTAGCTGGGTGTGGTGGTGGGCACCTATAATCTCAGCTACTTGGGAGGCTGAGGCATGAGAATCACTTGAACCCGGGAGGCGAAGCTTGCGATGAGCCAAGATCTCACCACTGAACTCCACCCTGGGCGACAGAGTAAGAACCTGTCTCAAAAAGAGAAAAGAGAGAGAGAGACTTTTCAGTGTTATGAATCTAACAATACACCACCATTCTGCTTGTTGGGATTAAGAGTTAAGTCTATTTATCTACTTGGCTGATCAAGCTTATGGAATTATTCCAAACCTCTTTATCACTATTTTATTTTGTTTGATGGATTTATCAGTTTCTGAGATTGGTATGTTAAAAATGATGGGGTGCTGGCCAGGCATGGTGGCCCCCTGTAATCCCAGCACTTTGGGAGGCTGAGGAGGGAGGACTGCTTGAGTTTATGGTTTGAGATCAGCCTGGGCAACAGAGTGAGACCTGGTCTCTGCAAAAAATAGAAAAAATTAGCCAGGAGTAATGGCATATGCCTGTAGTCCCAGCTACTCAGGAGGCTGAGGCAGAAGGATCACCTGAGCCCAAGAGTTCAAGACTACAGAGAAGTTTTTGTTGTTGTTGTTTGAGTTTGGGTTTTTTGTTGTTTTGTTTTGTTTTGTTTTTTGAAACAGAGTCTTGCTG